ATACGAAGATGAAAACACGTACGTTGTCTCTCTTTGTTTCGTCCTCTCTCACTCTCCTAAGCTCTATTACACTTCCTTAATGAAGAAATTTTCACAATATATCAGCATTATAGAGAAAATGCAAGTTAGAACGATCCCATATACTCTCTAAAGCTTCAGAATTGTGTATGTATGCATGAGAGTGTTGAAAGTGTGACAGTTTCAAGAGGACACAGACTGAATGCTTCATGCTAATGAATGTTCGCACATTCAAGCAAGACATCATCATTTTGGCATAAGTGCTACTTGGGTAAAAACAAGCCTCTGTTTAATAAATTGAAGAGTTTTTTTCACAAACGGGACCTTCTTGCCCTTGAACTCAAATTACCCCACTGATCTGGCATATCCACACAGCACATGGAGAGGCACTAATTGGATTTATGTTATGCACATACACAGTTCATGGTCACCTGGGTCTTTGTTTCACAATAACTTCACTCCCGCCATCACATACACATGCTCAATCTCACAAAAGGACCAATGCGTGTTTTCTGATCATATTAATGAAACAAAAAAGCCCATGGGCAATAAAAAAACCCCAGCAATAATTACCACAGCACTAACCGGTTTCGAGCAGCAACAGGATTTCTCTGCCAGTACGATTTGGAGGAGCATCGTGACATTGACATTTACTCTACCTTATGTCGTTCCGAACCTGAATTACTTTCTTTCTCTTTTGTTTGTGGAGCACAAATAGTTTTATTTATGAAGAATATCCTGAGAACTGAGGTCCAAAATGACAAAGATAAAAAACACCAAGTGCTATATTCCAAGACTCTAAATCAAATAGCTTGGTGAGACAAACAAACAAAATCTTAAATTATTCACAAAAAAAGAAAAAAAAATACATTCACACTAGCTCTTCTCGAGCATTCGAGAGTTCGTTAGAAAAGTAGCAATGCCCAATTCGAGAATGAATCGTTCTTTGGAGTCTGATCTTTTTAAATGAATCAGTTGATCCAGATCCAAAAATCAGTCTTTGATCAGAATTGAACGGATCCAGTTTTCAACAGTTAACAGACCATAGGGAGAATCAGTGAAGAATTAATTATTCATCACACAAACAGTCTGTTTATCAGTCAAATAAATCATATTGCATGAAAGTGAATAAATGATGACATGACAGAATGTTCATTTTTGGGTGAACATTTCTTTGGGAATGCAAGAAGAAGCAAGAAGCCTGCTGATTGACAACAACAAAATCGATATAGTTTGCTGTCTCTTTCCCAGAAACGACTCCAAGACCAATTCACAAGAAAAGGGATGTAAACCATAAAACATAAGTGTAATAAAAGAAAATCAAAGTGAGGGGAAGGGAGGGTGCAGCACAGTGACATCTGCCCCATAATTACACCGGTCTGAACATGCAGTGAATCACTTCGCATGACTGTACACATCATATAAAAAAAAATAGATTTCGGGCTAAAACTCTCCTTTCTTCCTGTTAATAGCCACAGGACTGTTACTGTTTTATTAAACCTGCACATTTTACAAAAAAAAAAGCACATTTACATTTCCATGAGGAATATACTTCCTACCTCAAAGTAAACAAATGAGATCCTCCTCACAAGGTGCTAAGATTGTACTAGAAGCAGTGTTTGCTTACTCATTTAGCTCCGCTTTACTCTGTGTGTGTACTGTGTACTATGTGTGTGTGTGGATTGAATAAGAAAGGAGTGCATTCAGACACGTAATACAAGAGCTCAGTCTAATAGCTACACGTAATACATAACCCTACTACTAACACAGACAAGCTATGTTAGTTGTATCCCTGCACGGCCATTTAATATAAAAATGAGATATTATTCTGACAGGCATCTCTTGTGTCTCTGAAACACGCTATGACATGTGATACAGGTGGTTAGGCTCATTATCTCAGCAGATTCAATAACCAGTCCATGGAAGACAGGATACCTGATTATGTCTCTGAACTGTGACCTTGTACGATATGTTCTATTTGACCTCTTTTTAAGAGATTGAGAGAAAAATAAATGATTTTGGGTGTTTGTGTATGTGCAAGAGATATGGAGCGGCCCATTGTTATATTTGTGGTAAAGGTATGTGGAGCACTTGGTTACTTAAAATTAGCCATTAAAAATCTGTTCCAACGCAATACTGTACAATACGAGTCAAAAAGAAAAAAAGAAAAATGCCCTTTATCACCTCTGTCAGTTTTTTCCCTGCGATGTCTTACCTCATAGAAAATAAATTCATCATGAATTAAACAATAAAGAATAGTGACGAAAAAACCCAAGTCAAACTAAACTCAAAATCTTTTTTTTCTAGTTTTTCCATACAAGGATTTTAAGCTGCAAGATATCTTTGGCACATTTCTGCTGCCAAAAAGAACACACCACCATTCAAAAATCTTTAAAAAAAATTAATACTTTTATTCAGCAAAGATGCATTAATTCCATCAAAAGTGATAGTGAAAACATTTACAATGTTACAAAAGCTTTGTATTTCAAACAAATGCTGTTCTTTTGAACTTTCTATTTATCAAAGAATCCAAATAAAATGATCACAGTTTAAAAATACTAAACTATTTTCAACACTGATAATAATAATAATAGATGCTTTTTGAGCACCAAATCAGAATATTAGAATGATTTCTAAAGGAAATGTGACACTGAAGATTGGATAATGGCATCTGAAAATTCAGCTTTGCCGTCACAGGAATAAACAACATTTTAAAATATAGCCTATTGAAATAGAAAATGGTTATTTTAAATTGTAATATTTCACAATATTACTGTTTTTACCATATTTTTTAATCAAACAAATACAGTGTGGTGGCGCATAAGATACTTGATAATCTGAGTGTACAAGCAAACTCTAAAGAGTCTTTTATCTCCAAATTTGCAAGTTACAATCATTATTGTTGTCACTTATTTCTGGCTATTATGGTTATCACATTCCGATTTGTCTTAATCTCTTCACAAGACTACTTTCAGCTATTTTCTCTCTGACTTGTCTGTTTGTTTACAAACAAGTACAGGGGAAATGTTTGCATCATAGCCCAAAACCAACAGTAAGTAAACAAATCATTATCAACATTACCCTGCTAATAAAAAAACTTTTTACAGTTTGGGATTTTTGGAGTTATTGCTATAAAATGTACTATCAAGAACGTTTGGTCAACATTGATTCATGTCGTAATAAATAAATGTCCGTGTGACGTTCATCTAAGACTGAAGGCCATCCTGAGACACATAAATAGTCTCTAGCCACTAAGCCAGTCTCTACCGAAGAGCCCACTTCATCTTCAGACACAAAGCTCTGTGATTAGAATTTGGTACTGAAAAAAAAAGACACAGAAAGAAAGGGAGAGGGAGCAGTATGTGTTGTGAAGTGTTGCTATAACTGTCTCCATGGGCAACTAAAGAGGAATCCTGCCAATTCTGTGAGTAGGTTGTGTCTGGGAGGGGAGTGCAAAGCACAATCCTTAAGGTATTATTCTAATTCAATGTCTGTCCAAGTCCACGGAAAAACATCCAGAAGGGAGAGGGGAGCATTCAACCCTGCTGACAGCCCAAGAGAGCACTTCTACCTGGGGAGTAACCCCACAGCTACCCTGCCTGCTGGAGATACCACATGAAATGGGGCACCTTTGCATGAATCCATTTAAACAAGCATAACCGAAGCCAAGAAAACACCAGGTGAATGTGACAAACCTGAACCTGGGGGAATGATAGTTGGCAATGGCACAAAATCTGAGCATAATGCTTTCATGATTTTTCTTAAATCAAACTGGAACAAATTCAAATATAAGTCAGATCAGGTGGTTTCATATAACATTAATAAAATAATTAATAAAAATGGGTCATCTAAATAAGCAAAAAATCAAAAGCCACAAAAAAAACTCCCAGCAAGTGATTTCCGATGTGTGTAAATTCACGCGTTTTGGGAACAAGGTGGAGGCGTCTCTTTCTCCTACTTGATAAATGCAACTAACCATTCCTGCCCTACATACTAGTTTGTTTACAGCTGAGAAAGCTTAGCAGGCGGCACACAGCACCAATCATAAATACGGAACAAGAGCAATAGAAGTATGACCTTTATAAACCTACATTCAACATGACTAAAACACACTGTGTTGCTGTATTTGATCAACATGTCCAGAATGCAGTGCAGATTTGTGAGATTGTCCCTTTATGGCATTAATACGTAAAAGTAACTGCAAGTTCAATTTAAATTCCATCAGTTTTCAGAAAAAGGCATTCTCTCCACTGCACCTCCGAACACTCCACTTTACCATATTCATCAACTAGGATAATTAATGCACTTGCAATTAATACTGTGACCAATACAACGGAATAATTACATTTTGTGGCAGTTGTGCCTTTCTGTCCTCTGCTGTAGCCTACGGCTCAATTAAGTCATTCAACTTGCAGATTACAATTTCTATGTTTGTCTTTCATTAGCAAGTCCTGCAAAAATCAATCTTGCCCGTGTCAACCTTCCTGCAAAGTCCTACTTACATTCACAGCTAATAACCGGATGTCTGTGTCTAATAATACGCTCAAAATATGCCATGCACAATGTTCATAGACATAATACGTCACTTATTAATTACAATAATAATGTGTGCTTACAAGCAGCTTCACAAAAGATTAAGTGCATTGTCTATTACTGATACATACTACACAGTAAAACAAACACTGTAATCTACACTTATGTATACAGTGTGTGATGTCATACTTTACAAAGCATCAATAAATAGGAAGTAAAAATTCCAGTGTAGAGGTACCTAAAGCCACAACTCATGACAGTTGGAGTCTTCTCAAAGAAACAGTGTGCCAAGTTTATGCCTGTGGTTTCAAAAACCAGTGAGTAGTGTAGACAGACAGCATTTCTGGTATCATAAACAGTTTTTTTAAGACCTTAGTTGAAAGAGGAACAAAGATGGTACCTTCATGGCTATATAAGACACCTGTTAAAAAGAGGTTCAAATTACTCACGGCAGTTCTCTTCGTCGCTGTTATCCGAGCAGTCATCATCATCATCACATCTCCATGGAGTCGGGATACATCTGCCGTTCCTGCACTGAAACTGACCGCTTTCACAGTCCGGTTTAGTTCCTGTCATATTAAGAAGTTGTGTGTAAATACAGGATGCAAATTTTGGGGGAGATCAAGTTATTAACTAAAGGCAATGATCACACAGACACTGTTCGACCAACATTTTTGCCAAGTTTTTTTTCCTTTGCCCTCCCCAATTTTCGATATTTTGTTTCATCTCTACTTTAACCCATCCAACTTCCACAAAGGATGTCAAATCAAAATGTTGGGGGACTTACTACGGTATGTAAAATATATGTATCATTATTTATAGATTAATATATTGCACATATATCACAAAGAGAACATGCTTAAACAGCTCAAACTTAAAAAAAAATGTCAAACGTAAAAAAAATAATAAAACAAAAAGTTAAGACAGAGCCCACGACATTCTTAGCATAGTTTCCTATTTTACAAGTCTCTGTATAGTCCTACATAATTTTATGCAAAGTTCTGTTAACAGCTGTCAAACAATACTGTCAGTAAAAATGACAGGTTGCAGTAAATGTATCACAAACTATAAATGACCAAGGATAAATGACACGTGTGCATAAAAACACATCTAAATGATACTGTTGACACATTCAAAGAGAGTAAAGGTGCGCTATTGCGTATGTATGGGTTACTTTCAATTGTGTACTACGGACTTATACGTACTACTTCTATAATTAAATTTTATATAACAAATACTTCCTTCTTATTGTGCCCACAACGAACACGGCAGGACAAGAACAACATGCACTTGATCAGATTGTCGTTTCTTAAAAAATACACGCTTTATAAAGATATTAACATGATATAGCGCGCAAATAATGTCTCGTCATCGGAAGTAGATGCACGCGGCTCCGCCGGTGTTTCTATCTACAGCATCAATTTACATTCATAACAGCGGACTGTCAGCGTGGAGCAGACACTTACCATTCACCAGCAGAAACCCCACGAGTATCATATGTAAAAGCAGCAGTTTCCCTATAGCCGTCCACATCTTTACAAATAAAGACGCTGTGCTCATACGGAATATAAAAAGGCCGTGCTGTACAGTCTCTACCTCCTGTCTCCGTGCAGTCTGCGCTCTGGCTCTCCACAAGCTCCACTCTGCTTCGATACCAGTTTGAATCGATGACGCCAACGCGGAAGGGCGGGGCCATGCGTGATGACTTGTACGTACGGGCGGGGTTAATTTTGAGAAATTAAACAAAACATGTCATCAGTCTTCTACAATAGACTGTAAAGTCTTCTACACAGTTGAAGAGATGAAGAGATTCGTGGGCATTGTAGAGTACAAATAATTGTATAGATTGAGAGTTTTGTAAAAAAAAGAAAAAAAAAAGTTAAAAGTTAAAAAACTTAAAATATAATATGAACAAATAAAATGGGAATATTTATGAAAAATGAACAGGTGCTGCACTTTTGTTGTATTTAATTTACTGTGTGTGAGAGTAAATAAATAGCCATATTGGTAAATGTTTTTAGAGTAAAATAGAAAACATTTTTATTCTTATTTAATTAAAAAAGAGTATTTAAGTGCATTTCAAATCCCTGCAAGATCCATAACATTTATTTATATTATCTAACAAGTTATATTTCTTGCTATTTAATCATTAACAAAGTCCATTGTTGTGTTTTGTATACATTTTACGTTATAGGCTATAATTCATGTTTGTTGTATTACTGTATTTTAGATTCTAGAAAGTTGTTTCAGGGGTAGCTGCAGGGACTGGCTGGCATTATAAACAGGAAGCTGTCGGGATTGCAGCGCTATGATAAATTGTTCCCCCTTCTTAAGTGTGAAAAAAGAGAATAAGAGGGAGAGAGAGAGAAAGAAGTTGAATGTTTTTTCTCAGTTGAGAAGGCATCACCATCAGTCCTCAGTTGTTCTCTTTTCTCACATGCACTGAATCGACTGTTAGAAACAGCTTCCTCTGCTTGGGCTCTTTCAGAGAGATTACTTTTACTGCATTTCTAGCATCAGTTTCTGCTATGAACCACTAAGTTAGCCATAAGCTCTGTAGCTCATTTTCTGTTGTGAAAATAATCATCAATCGTAACGTAAAGGAGAATTTAGCCCAACCTATAGTATTATATTCTGACATGCATAATTTTAGTTCAGAACTAAAGTCACGACACTACAACTTTGATTTTACTGGACCCCCCCCAAGTCATAATAGCTATTGGCTATGTCTCTTCCCAACTTTCTATTTCAATAGGTAACCAAGAAATACATTTAGACAAGAAAGAATTGTCTTGAGTCTTTATGGCAAGACACTACAGGCAAAACCCTTTTTTTATGCAGAGGTAAATTGAGAGATTTTAAGCTATTTTGCTTCAATAACATGTTTTTTCCAGACTAGTGGAAAGAAAACATAAATACACATTAAGTGCTTATTTACTCGGTTTGCATTTGTAGATTTTGAATACATAATGTATATTTAAAGTTTATTTTCTCAAAATAAGCCAGAAATCTCCAGAACTGATACATACACCAGACTTTCCAGTTTTATTCCTATCTATATTCTGAAAGTTTTAACAGATGCGTTTATAGATGTATATTCAGCAGATTTATAATAACATTTTAATTCTAAAAATGTGTGTTTTTCTGACTTATAGCCTAGGGCTAAAATGTGATATCTAAAAACATTCAACTCTAATATGACAACAAAATGAAACAAGAATTTTGAACCTGGCTTATTCCAATGTTCAGATTTCTGTTTTGAAAAGGTCTACAAATTAGTGCATATTTAATTAGATAATGCCAATTTGCATATTTAAACATAACATTATAGAAAACGTGTAATACAAATCAATTGCGTACTGTGATTAATTAACTGAGAAAGTATGAAGAAATACAAATTAAAAATGTTTTACCCTAATCACTTGTAGTGGCCAACATCAAAATTTCGATTTTTGGTATGACATTTTGACTTGTCTCTGAGTTATTTCTGGGAAAGAGGGAGAAAAATTCAGAACTGAAAAATTGTGAGAGCATCAGAACATGAGAGCGTAGGTCAGCTGATCCGCATATTCTCTCTCTTTCAGTGGTAGAACTCGCCTAAACTGCCAGAACTGCTCTCTGCCAAGCTGCTGACCCAAAAAAACAGAGAGATGTTCAGTCGATAACTGGCCAGTGGCCCACCAGCTATTCAGGTGAGAAACAGGGTTTCATCAAAAGATATGACAGTGCAGAACTTCCACACTGCAGAAACAACCGGAGATGCCTGAATGGTTGTTCCCTGCCCTAGAAACACAGGTTCTAAAGAGGGCATTATTTGAGGAAGTGTATAGGTTGTTAACGTGGTGTGCTTTGCTTAGTCTATTTTGGTGTGGTTTGGAAGTTAGATTCCAGTAGCTGATGTTTGAATATTCCATTGATTAGAGTGTAATGAGGCATTTTACACAAATCACTTCACCTTCATCCCTTTTGCCAATCAGACTGGAAAGTGTGAGAGCCCTTATTATCCCTCAGACCCAACTCATGTTTTTGCTTCCATGAATTCTCACTGTTACCCAAGTATGAGAAGATGTGCCATTCCAGACATATCGAATCATAGTGAGGCTCTAGAACTTAAAGCAATATTACAACTTAGCAGTAAAGTGATTTGACCCAAAAAATAAATATTCTGTTTATGTATTCACCCTCATTTAGTCCCAACCCTGTAAGACCTTCTTTCTTCTGTGGAACAGAATATGATAAACCTTGAAGAATTGTACTGATCTGTCTTTTCTGTGCAATTACACTGAAAAAAAAAAAAAAACATTCTGGTAAAATTCACAATTACAAAGACCACTTTGAATTAAATGTGAAATTTTGAAATATAGAGACTGATATTTTCTTGTAAAACGTACTCCAATAATTTTTTTTATATTTACAACTTCACAAAATATTTGTGTACAGTCTACAATGAATCAAAAAAAAAAATTGGTCCATACTTATTTGGCTCTACATTTCAAGTGTCAGTCTCAGTCTCCATTTATTGTAAAATGCATGGAAAACAGTGAGTAAAATTCTTCATAATTATTTACTGTTGTTTTCCATAAAAGAGATACTTTCATATAGGTTTGGACTGGAGCAACATGAGAATGCTAGTAAATAATGTTATTTTTTTTAAATGTTGGATTAGTCAATATGATCTTCTGTGGTAATCCATAGCATGTCACAGATGCTGTTGATAGACTACAATGCTGACGAAAGTACAGTGAACCTGAAATGTTTTATAAAATACATGAGCACCTTGTCAGCCAAAGTTTGTCTGGTCCACTCCACATGAACCCATTAGATCCTACTGGTAGATGTTGTAACTGCACCAACTGTGTATCATTACATAATTTTCCTGCAGGTCCAGAGTAATTAGTCACATGGCATTTATGTGACTGTCTCAAAAAAAAAAAAAAAAAAAATTAAATAAATTGGTACAGTAATATAAATGACAGGTCTGAAAAAAATCATATGACCTAAAAATAAATTGTAACTAAATATAACAGAACTAAATATTACATAGTCTTTATAATTTATTAAACTTCCTTCACATCTTCTATTTATGTCCAAGTGATACATTGACTTGTAAAAGGGAAGACTCTCAAAGACAGGGTAAATGCAGCGACTTTTTCTGTATTACTAACTTCAACTGTGAGAATAACATTGTGATGGGCATTTGAAAGGTTTGTTATACAGTACTACTGATAGTCTCTCTTCCTTTCCACATTGCACAGGTGTTTTTATTTTTTTATTTTTTTATTGCTGTTGGCAAGTCATAAGGGATTTTTATATGCTGCTCAAGTCACAGTGAAATGGCTTTATGAGACCTGAGTGCTTTTTTTAGATTCCCATTAGAAACTGATATAAAAAGTTATGTAATGTAATGACAAGAAATGACATGGTTGGATAAGAAGGCAAAAGAAGATGTGCAAAATTCAAGTTCAAGTAATTTTTTTGAAAGAGCAGAGCTTTACATATCAGTGTTGCATTATTAAGGTAATATATAGTATAATTATCATTTTATGTCATAACAGTGTACACTTTCATCCCAGATAGCAAACAAGCATTGAAACATTGATTGATGTTAGTTCCTCCACATCACGTTTGTGTAAAGTCTTGCAGAAATCATTTAAAAATAAATTGGAATGTATGTGAAACCAGGTGTAATCTTTAAAAACATTTTGAGGAATGTGGCTTTGTTTTGATAACTGAATTAATGGTTTGTGAAATTGTGCCAATTGAAGATTAAACTATTTTGATTTAAATTTTGTTTACGGTGAAAATCAACAATATGTCAAAGTCACTATTGAATCTGACACAGTGACCATGTGACACTTCTTTTAAAGTAAATGTCATATTCATGAAATCTTTCTGTCACACATTCACACATATAATACATACACAGTTTAACATGAGTATACTGTCTCTTCCGTATCTGCTTCACAAGGGTGAATTATAATAATCAACTCAAATATTGAGTTGAACAAAAAAAAGAGTTGAAATGTTCTTCAAAATATATTCATTTGTGTTTTGTGGAAGAAAGTTATACAGGTTTTGAACAACATGGTGAATGATGACAGATTTTAAATATTGAAACTATCCCTTTAAAACTATCCCTGATGTTGTGGTCTTTCCAAGCATGGTCATTTTAGTTTACAGTATACTGTGAAAACAAGGTAATAGAGCCAAAGAGGTCTGTCTGACCCCAGCTACTCACTCATGTGTAATTATTTATCTACAATTCCACCAAGAGAAGGAAGCCAACTTGACAAAGGAGAAAAAATGAGAGGGGAATGAGAAGGGGAGAAAAAGAGCTGACTGTCTGTAAGAATGAATGATGTCTCACTGAACTTACATCTGAACTGAAAAGGAAGGTTTAGAATGGAGAGGTGGAGAAAGAAATAGAGGTTAGGGGTGAATGTTTGGTGGTGAGATGGCAGTTCAGTTCACATCCGTGTGCTGAGAGCCACAGGCAGAAAGATGACTCACAAGGGAGTCTACAAAGAAGAAAAACGGAAGAATTATACTGGCGGTTAATTCTTTGTTCTCAATGATTTTGATATTTTGATATTTCTCAGTAAAGTGCTGATATGGTGTTCTCGATGGTTGCTAGGATGTTGCAATGTGG